AGAGCAGTGGATTTATTGATTTATTTAATGTATATTGCTGCTGCCACACAGATCTAAAATAAGCATGCAAATAATTTCCCAGCTGTTTACCTTTACAGACATAACCGACTGTTTTTGTAACTCATGTGTGTTTTTAACGTAAACTTGTGTGTGAAAGAGAACTTAGTTTAGTACTCACATGCTTTCTGGTGGCCGCTTTCTGTACGTGTGCTTCGGATGTGTGCGCTCAGAAAACCGTATATCAAAAGTTTAAACTAATTTAAAACGTATGATTTCAGCGCGATAAATATGATAATCAGATCCAAAACAGATGTTTTTTAGCAGGTCCGAGCTGTAATGGTGCAGCTCTATTCTTGAAAAGGGGGCGGGGAGCAGCAGCTCATTTGTATTTAAAGAGACACGCACGAAAAACAGCGTGTTTCTGCTTCCACTCAAAATAGGCATGTTCAAAATTATATAATAAATTATCTGTGGAGTATTTTGAGCTGAAACTTCAGACACATTCTGGGGACACCAGAGACTTATATTACATATTGTAAAAAGGGGCATAATATGTCTCCTTTAATTCAGCAGGGCATGACAGTAGTGTGCTGAACACAAAGCAGAGCTGATCTATGGAGCATCTTGAGCTGTCACAACACATTAGCTCAGACCAGTGTGAGTGAGCAGAGACCATCAGCTCTATGTTGACACTAGAGTAGTCCAGGTCAACTTTAAACTAAACTCTACAGACACTGAGCACCTTGCCAATGAGAAAAAAAACATTAAGCCACAACAGCCCATGTGGAACAGTGATTACCCTGGTTAACATAGTTAGGCACGGCGTGAAGTAAAACAAAAATTGATGTTTTGCAACAAAATCTATAATCTATAATTATTAATAAATTTTGGAAAGCAAAATGTATAATTTATTATTCCATATCTTTAATTAAATTGGTGTATTTAATATACTTTTTAAATTAATTATTAAATAATGGAATACATTATTATTAAAAAATATTCTATGTTAGGGTCCTCGTGGGTGGTTACTAGGTGGATGCTTAATGACCCACATCAAAAGTCTCATCTCTAGAGACTATTTTCTAAATGCATGTTATAGATCTCGTTGTGAACAATTCCTCTCTGTGCATGCATTTCTTTTTGAAAGATATTTTTGCAAGCTAACAATCATCTGCCTCCTCTTTTGAGCGCAACACCCACATCTCAAAATTCAATCAACAACGATGCACAGAACCTACATTTTTTCTTTTTCGATAATCCGTTACACTCGGATGTACGTCAAAACACACAAGATAAGACTATCTGCTACTTCCGTTTCACCGCAACTTTAATGTGAGTCTATGGAATTTTTTCTTAGACAAAAAGTAATGTGCTGAAGTTTAGGTAATACAATCAAACCAAAAATTATTCAGACACCAAATATAATTTTTGATATTTTTTACTAGTGGGTGCAGGACACTATATTTCATTTATGTAAGTGAGGATAGCAAAATAAATTAAACTGTGACATATTACCCCCAAAAATTCTTCATACAGTGGACTACCAGTAAAATTGATTAAAAATTTGGGACCAAAAATTATTCAGACACTTTGACCTGACCATGTTTTGCTTAATTGTTATAGGACATTATCAAGATGAATTTGTTCTGACACCGTTTAACTCTGTGTTCTTGTCATATTTTATTACCATTTTCTAAACTATAGCGAATAAACTGTGACAATGTGTGAAATGTTGAAGGTATAAAGGAATAAATTTTGGTTTGACTGTACATATGGCCCAAGGTTTGTTCTTATTTTTTTTTCTAACATTTATCTTTCTCTATAGACACTAGCATCTCCATGCATTTAGTATTTCAATCATATGTATAAAACCTCACCAAAAGCCTTTTTTGTCCCTCTTGCATTATAAAATATCGCCATCCTCTTCTTTTTTATCACACCATCTTCTCCCTCATTCTCAACCCCATTCACACACATTCATTGTCCCCCTCTTCACCTCTCTGGTCCGTTTTCTCCCCTCCATCAGATAATAATTGACTCGGTGAGGTGATGGGGACACTGTATCTGGGTCAGTTCTGTCCCCTCCATCAGAATCAGGAAAGATCAGTCAGTTGTTTCCCATTGTCCTGGGTTCCCATGGGCAGCTTCTCTTCTGTTTCTTATCATTCTACTGTAACTGAGCATCTGATATGACTCATATAGACAATCAATACATGCTAACATGTGCTTAAAGGGCCTATCTAGACAACTAAACACGATACATGATTAAAGAGTAAAGACATTGTTTGAAATGGGCTTAAACAGCCTATGTTTATCATTACGCCATAAATGCATCCCCATCCATCAGCCTCTCACCTTTTGCACATGACTTTTCCTGTGCACTTCATACCGTAACCTTTAGAGTCACCCATTGATCACATATATATCGGTAAATCATGAATGGCCAACGGTCCATATGTGTGATGCTATGAAAGATCAATAAATGGCCTTCTGCGTGATACTGAGTGAATGAAGCTAACCTTATTAAGGACAGGAAGGGAAGAGGCCCCAAGGGGTCAAGCCAAAAAGGTTCAGTCACGTCTCTAAAGGTCAAAGATCACAAAATCTTAACAGAACAATCTGTGTGCTGATTGGTTCAAACGCCTCAGACAAAAGCAGTCACACCAAAGACAATGACAGCAGACCCAGCGTGTTCTGGGACACGAGCAAGCTCAGCCGCTAAAATCAACATAAACAGGAAAAGTTTTGAAAAAGTGCTGCTTAAACAGTTTGTACTTAAAAGAGATAATTCTGTCATCATTTGCTCACCATCATGTTGCTACAAACCTGTATGACTTACTTTCTTCAGCGGAATAGAAAATAAAATATTCTGAAGAATGTTGGTAAACAAACAGTTTTGCTTACCATTGACTTCCACTGTATGGACATCAATTAAAAAAAACATATTGATACACTTTAATTATAATCTTATTTTCCACAGAAGATGTCTTGCAAAAGGTTTGGAATGATATGAGGGTGAGTAAATGATTACAGAACTTTCATTTTTGAGAGAACTATCCCTTTTAATAACCATTTCAACACATATCTAGCGCTGTGCAAAAGTTGTCATCGGACTATTCCATTGATATAAAACTAAACTAGCTACTAAATTCACTAGAATGACACCTGCCAACCTATTACAACATTCAAAACCATACAAACACTGCCATATACTTACAGGGAAAGCAAGATACCGAGTTCCTCTTGCAACAAGACTGAGAGCGTGTGAGTGTGTCCCCTTGTGATCCTTTTCCCTGTACTCTTAGCATTGGTTTAGGGGTCCACAGTGATTCTGGTCTCTGGTGGACCTTGGAGGCCAGCAGTCTGCGCTTGATACCGCACTCACTCCTGGTGCAAGGGTTCTGGGCCGGTTCCAGGGCCGAAGACTGAAGCTGTGAGGGTGGATTGTTGCCCATTTTGCAGGTGCAAAGGTTGGCATCCCGCACTTGGTAGCAGCAGTCCACTACATTCACGATGGAGAGGTGCTGAGCATATGTTAGCATGCTGAAGGATCATCAGGCCTGGAGCTGTCTTGGGGGCGGATCTTGATTTGACCCCCCCCTCCCTCTCACACAAACACTTCATCTGCCAACCTCAGGTCTGTCCCCTGGGGGGGGGGAAGGAAGGCAGTGGGCGGGGCTTGTTCGTTGCAACACACAAGGGACCCGTGGTGGATCTCCAGAAGACAAACCCCTCTCCTCCCCGCCGCACTCTTTTCTTTTGGTCTGCTTGAATTGAATTGATTTGCGCAAACAAAAGCCGCAATCCGCAGTGTCAGATTACACACAGAGTTGCATCTCCAAAACAAGCAAGCAAAAAAAAAACTCTTATTTTTGCAACCATGAATATTATGGTTCCATAGTAAGGTCCCATTACTATTAACTAACTAATTAAGGTTCCATTAATGTATTAACTAACATTTACTAACAATGAACAATACATTTGTTACATCTTTGTTAACGTTAGCTAATAAAAGTACAACTGTTCATTGTTAGTTCATGTTTGCTTAGATTCATTAAATAATATTAACACATACAACTTTTAGTTTTAATAATATAGTAAATGTTGAAATTAACATTAACTAAGATTAATAATAATAATAAGTTTTTTTCATTGTTAGTTCATGTTACGTAATATATTAAAATATTAAAACAACATATAATATATTATAATATAGCTATAAACCATAAAACTATATTAAAATATTAAATATGAGCCAAAACAGACAAATAAATAAATAAATAAAAATTGAAAGCTAATAAAAATAAATTAAAACCTACTTCTCTGCCGGAACTCACAGTTTAGAAAGTTTCAGATGTTGGAGAACTGATGATTCAAGCATTCATATACTAGAAAACATCTCACAAGATGTTAACACGGCAATCTTCATGAGTTCAAAAGGTTTTTGGGGATCTGATATCAAGTTCTGTGAGAGAACACAATTGTTATATGAAGTTACTGCTGATCTCTCCACCTCTCTGGACACAAATGAGAACTAACTATTATCCTCTTGGTCCCACCGGTGTTTTGGTCAGTGTGTTTGGCTCCTCTTGCTCATCTTGGGTTAATCTCTTAACCCGGATTAACAGACAGACACACACAGTCACACAGATGCCCACATGGTACAGGTAATTAAGCCTAAATGCAAGAGCTCAAGCACCTCTACCAACACAGAAACAGGTTGATGTCTATTGGCTTTAAAGGAACACTCCACTATTTTTGAAAATAGGCTCATTTTCCAACTCCCCTAGAGTTAAACAGTTGAGTTTTACCATTTTCGAATCCATTCAGCCGATCTCCGGGTCTGGCGGTAGCACTTTTAGCTGTAGCTTAGCATAGATCATTGAATCTGATTAGACCATTAGCATCTCGCTCAAAAATGACCAAAGAGTTTCTATATTTTAGGCGCAAGGATATTACGCAGCACCGGAAAATAGGCTTTCGTCTATTTCCGTCAACATAACCAACGTGACCAGCTGCTTGCACAGGGATCAGATTCAATGATCTATGCTAAGCTACAGCTAAAAATGCTACCGCAAGACCCGGAGATCGGCTGAATGGATTCGAAAATGGTAAAACTCAACTGTTTAACTCTAGGGGAGTTGGAAAATGAGCCTATTTTCAAAAATAGTGGAGTGTTCCTTTAAAGGAAACATCAAACACAGAGCTAGCATTACACTGAATTGCAGATCTTAACAAGATTTAGTTAGTCTAAATTGCACAATAAACCACATCTTTTTTTAAAACAGAGGCATGAACTTCCTTAAAAACAAATCTGAACCATTTCCTTAGTCAAATTACATTCCTAGTCAGAGACTCAGCAGAAACGCTGGCCAAGGAAAACACTAATCATACTGCCTGTAAATATCAGAGTTCACTGCTTAACAGTACACAGTACTATTGAGTGCTGTTTAATATGAGTGTTTAATCAAGTGTGCTAATCTAAATACAATCTGATTAAAATGAATTGTGTTGGGTGCTGCTAACCTGCTGAGGCGACAAATTGTGTAATTCTGGCAATCATGATAGCTTAGTGAGCAGGACAGTTTACAAAGAGGAACAGCGACCTCTAGCTGTGGATGGGATAATATAGTCCCATTATTGTCCCATAAAGTGATTTCATAAAGCTTTTCAAACACTTTTTTTGTTCTGTGATTGGGCAAGAATAACCAGTTCAACAGGTCAACACCTGGCACAAACTGAAATTAACCAACATACACTAATCTTCATCCTCATTATCATTCCTTTCTACAGAAGTGTCACAACAAAAACTTGAGATCTATGAAAAAAACAAAAAACAAAAAAACAGAAACCATGTGATACTACAGAAGTATTTGAATGGCATGTGCTGTCTGAAGTAACATAGCACTTTTACATGTGAGTAAGCGTGCTGTAAACTGACCAGTGAGGAATGTGGCAGACAGTAAGCGTGAGAACTCCTCATGGAGGTCAAAGTGTAGGAGATGTCAACCTGAGAGTCACAGCCTCTCATATATACCAGTAGCACAGGTGTCATACCGTGAAACAGAATTTTGGTCATACCACCCACCCCTATCTGATTGACATGTACAAACTACAGTTTGCTTTTTCTGATAGTCGTATTAGGCAGATGGAACCATTTAATAAACCAGAAGAAAGTAAAACCAAAGCTAAATAAAATACTATTATATAAAAAATGAATATAAACTATTTAATTAAAAATAAAAAAGATAGAAGATTTTATATATATATAACCCTTCTAAGTGCATGTGACCTTGTCTATAAAGTGTCGCTTCACATGGCTGCTAAGTGTCTAACATGTCTTAGCACTGGTTTATATATAGGTTTACTCTGTACTTAGGGGTTATATAGGTCTCCCATGCATAGCCACGGTGCTTCAGTTATATCTAAACAATGTGCAACTCGCATACATGACTGGAGTTAGGGCTGTATTGACGTTCTCTTTTTCCGCTATATTTTTAATGAACAACGCAGCAGCGCCGCATCTAGTGGCTTCAACTGGATAGGTTAACAAAAACATTATAATACAACGACACTTACATCGTCATCGCATCTCGTGCGCCGCTGATAAGGCTGCCTCCTTAACGCACACCTAAAATTGTGGATTTTTATTTTAAATTCGACGAATATTCGAAATTCGGATTTTTTTTTGGACAGCCCTAACTGGAGTTCACCCCCATTACACAAACAAACACTCTACACACATATACAAGTGCAACAGTCCATATAAACATCTTCCTCATTGACACATCAGTATAAGCACTACAGCTGGTTCATCTGGCTTGAGTAAATGCAAGTTAAATCTGAAATCTACATTCCCTAATCACATTTCTGTTCCTTCATTATGCAGTAAACAACAACAACAAAAAAAACAAAACGTAAATTGGCATGGAGGCAGCATCTTGGGTCAAATCAAGAGTTATGCAATAAATAAACCTGCGCCTTTCTCTAATAAGGCAGATTTACTGCTTGATCTGCTTTTCCATCAAAAATTCACTCATCATTAAAAGTCTGCAGAAGTAGGACAACATCTAAGTGGATGAGTTCAGAAATCTATTTATTGTTGCATGGCAGAATAAAAAAAAAACATTTTGGTGTATGTAAAAAATGATTGATTTTTGATGCATAGCAGTATGATATAGTAATATAAATAGTTTTAAATGATCTAGTAGAGGAATATATTTATAATTTTCCATAAAATGATCTACTACTGCTCTGAAAAATCATTTAGATCTTACTTCAGAATGCTGAACGGATCATACAGAGGGAGAAAGTAAAACAATGAGAGTGTCATGGAACAAGAAGAAAGTAAGGTATCTGGACGAACACACTCTTGGTGTCCACTGCACATGGGCCAGCATCATGCCACGACACATGTCTGCAGCAAATATGCCTTCGACAGCTGACTAGCACACATGCTTACAAAACACAAAATTAATGCATTTATATCTTACTGCAAAGCTTGCCAACAAATTTGAAACATCTAATCATCACAGACTCACTCACACACACACAAAAACAATGTCAATTCTATAATATACTGCACTATTTATCAAGACAAAACAGAGGGTTAAAATAAAAAAAGGACAAATTGTTACAGAAAGAAGAAAAATGACAAAGGAAACAGAAATCCCAAAGCAAGAAGTAATTTTTTCCAACCACAAAGACCCTCTTTCCCCTTTAATATAACGCAAAGATTCCCCTATGCCGTTATTTTTTTCTCTCAAACACACACATGTGGATACATACAACAGAAAACAGCATGCATACAGACACAAAAATGTCCCACCTTCCAGGCATGACATGGCTCTATGTCCATTAGAGATTCCTGGAGATGTCAATCTCACTCCCGCGAGCGAGCCCATATCCAAATACACACACAGGCTCATGGGGAACATACACAAACTCACTGACACTCCCCTCTGTGTCTCTCTCTCTCTCCAACTCGCTCGTTCTCCCACCACATACACTCCCCCTTTCCCGTCATCTCAGTACCATCTCTTCCCTGTTTTTCTCTTTCCCTTGTTATCTCTCTCTTTCTCTGTACTTCCTACTTTTAAAGACATGTATGGACACATTTGGGCACTCATTCATGTGCACACTGATGTTTTAAAAACAAATTAACCCAACTGTTGCCCCATGTCTGAACATGTGTCCTTATTACAGTATGCCAAAAATAGTATGTATGATTGTAAATGCATTGACAGAGTATTGACAGCAGTCAGTCTTTCTCTGTACTTCCTACTTTTAAAGACATGTATGGACACATTTGGGCACTCATTCATGTGCACACTGATGTTTTAAAAACAAATTAACCCAACTGTTGCCCCATGTCTGAACATGTGTCCTTATTACAGTATGCCAAAAATAGTATGTATGTTTGTAAATGCATTGACAGAGTATTGACAGAGTTCATGAATCAATTTGATTTCAATTCACAAACTATGGATTTGATTAGATTCTGATCTCAAATCGATTCAATATCGATTTATATATCAGGTATAGTACATGCCAAGGGGTCCAGAATCCCTAGCGACTCCACTGCACATAGGTAGTTTTTACATAAACATAGGTAGTTTTTCAAGGTAGTTTTTACATAAACATTTGAATGATATATTATGTTGATACTTCAATCTGTTGCTGAAATATAAACATTTAAACAGTGGCTGTGTTAAAAAAACGTGTTTTTATAAATATTCTGTATTGAAGAATCAATATTTAATAACAAAAACAGATAAAAATTGAGTAATCAATAATGTCAATCCAGCCCTAGACAAAAAATATCTGGATGACCTACTGCTTGTGTCAAGATTTTTAGGAATGGTTCACCCAAAAATGAACAATATTCTAGTATTTCAATTGCTGGTAGATTGATGTTTTGAACATCAATTGATGTTTTTATAAGCTGTTTGGAC